CATTGCTTCTGTTTGGGAAAGGAGACTATTTTGGGGGTGTGAGTAAGGGGAAGAGGGGAACAGCAAGGCAGGGAGGGGAGGCTGACTTCTGAGATCTGAAAGGAGAGATTGATGCTGGGAGGGAGAAAAGCTTAATGTTAATATTCATCAGAGATGAGCCCCATGGCATTGCAGCCTAAGACTTATCAGAAAAGGTGAGATGGAACATAGCCACATTCTTTGTTAAATGCTTTATTGTCTGTGAGAGGAGGGGCAAGGAGGAGTGGAGGGTTTCAGGGAGAGGCCAAGGGAAAAAAGAATAAAAAGAACTGTCCTAGGAACGATGTGTTGGATGAATTGCTCTGTGTACTTGGCTAGAGCCAGGAGGCTGCTAAATTCTCAGCAGTAGCCTCAGTTACAGTCTTGCAGTGGTGGGAAGAAAGGATTGGGATGAGAGAAACTGGAGTCCTTATGACACGTTTTCTCTTCCTAGTTGTGTGATCGCTTGTAAGTTGCAAAACAATCAATCACGTCTCTAGGAATGGGGAGCTGCCTTGAGCTGGACAGACTCTCCCCCGCACTACGTGCACTTACAGAGGGTGACCCTGCCATCCTGATGTTCTGGGTGCATGAACACGTCTGTGCTGTTTTCTCTGCTCCAGTGTGTGCTTGTCTCATGATTTGAGTTGATCCAGAGGTCGATGTGATGGATGTATCCTGCAGATCTAATAAATAAGTAAATTTGTGCCACTTCCTTCAACTAAAGCAATTTCATCTGTTCAGCCCACAAAGAGGATAAATGGAATGCACAGCTAAGGGCTCAGGGCCAGGATTCCAAACATGTGGGAAAGAGCCTGTATTCCTCGTTCATTGCTGCCTGAGTTGGATGGATTCCACCTAGGGAGCCTGTATCCAGATCAATCTCTCTCTCAATCTCTCAGCCTCTCTCTCTCTGTTGGAATTTAATTCTGGATGAGACAATCTAAACCTTAGAGGATTATGGCGCAGTCAAAGACCAGGTTGCTGTTTGCAGCTTCTGTGAAGAGCCTCTGTGTTGGAGTTAAGAATGAGTAGGGTGGTGGGAGGAGAAACGAGGAGAGAAATTTAGCCGGAGCATATTCTTTTACTGAAGAAAAATACATTTGACCTGGCCTTGGTTTCAGATCCAGCATTGCCTACTTTTTGTTTAAGCATGGGAAAAAGAAGTTGGAAAATTCCACCACTGGAAAACTAGGGTAGGGATGAGAAGTTACAAAGGAAAGAGGAAGCAGCGGGTTCTTCCTTATGCTTCTATTATTGTTATTTTCTCTAATTATAGATGTAGAGAATATTATAGGGAAGTTATAAAATATAGAAGAGCCCAAAGAAGGAATTTAAGACACTCATAATAGCAACATTAAAGGATAAACACTGGTATAGTGTGGATATTTATCCCTGCCCAAATCTCGTGTTGAATTGTAATCCCCAGTGCTGGAATAAGGGTCTCATGAGAGGTATTTGGGTTGTGAAGGCAAATTTCTCATGGCTTGGTGCTGTCTTTGAGATAGTGAGTAAATTCTTGTGAGATCTGGTTGTTGTCTTTGAGATAGTGAGTGAGTTCTCATGAGATCTAGTTGTTTAAGAGTGTGAGGCGTCTCTCCTTGCTCTCTGTCTTGCTCTGACCTTGTGATGTACCAGTTTCCACCACATTCCACCATGAGCAAAACCTCCCTGAGGCCTCCCCAGAAGCCGAGCAGATGTTGGCACCATACTTACACAACCTGCAGAACTGTGAGCCAATTGAACCTCTTTTCTTTATAAATTACCCAGTATTCTCTGGCATTTCTTTATATCAGTCCAAGAATGGCCTAATAAGAACACCATTAACCTTTTGGAGAGTTATTTTATTACAGTTTTATATGCTGCTTTTTTTTTCTCTTAATAAGTATTTTGTGGGCATCTTCCAAAGACATTGCAAAATCATGTTTCTTAAAAAAGCAGTTGATTAGTACTTCTCTGCTGGATAAAATATAAGTTATTCAAGCATTTCCAAATGCTGGGCACTAAGGCTGCTTTCTCCCCCGTTATACAAGAAAAGCCCCAATGCAGTGTCTTCATACACATATTGTGTGTGTGCAAATATATAATTATTTTTTGAAAGTGTGTTCTTAGAAGAATTATTAAACTAATTCTTGAAGTTCTTCCAAATCCTAGCAGGCAGAAGTGTTTTGGAGAACAGCCTTAGTGTTATCCAGAGGGGCTCTAACAGCTCAGCTTTGGAACAGAGGGCATCTCATGTGCTTCTCAGGCTCATTAGTGCAGGTGCGTGTGTGTGGTGTGTGTTTATGTGTGGTATGTGTTTTGTGTGTGCGCTGTGTGTTTGTGTGTTGTGTGTTCATGTGTGTGCTTGTGGTATGTGTATATGATGTGGTGTGTGATGTGTGGTGTATGTGTGTGCATGGTGTGTTTGTGTGGTGTATGTGTGGTGTGTGTGTGTGTGTGGTGTGTATTTGCTGTGTTTGTGTGGTGTGCAAGGTGTGTTTGTGTGGTGTGTGTATGTAGTGTGTGTAGTATGTAGTGTATGTGGTATGTGTGTTTGTGTGTGTGTATGAGTGGTGTGTATATATGGTACGTGTGGTATACCATATATACACACATACTATAATCCAGCACAGGGGGCCTGGCCTCACAGAGGAGTGGGAGAAGGTTTTCTGAGGAAGCTGTGTCCAAGCCGAGATCATTCCCGTTCCATGTGCTCCAGTGCAAGGCCCTAAGGAGCCCTGTGAGCAAGGCCAACCTAGACCCTGCTTGGGGGATTCCCTTGACAGCGAGGGAAGGGCATGGCCAGAGGAGCTGAGGGCAGTCTCAGAAGGACGGTATCAGAGGAACTCTCACCGTTTCTATCATCAACGCTTACAGTTTTGTATCCACACGGGGGTTGTGACTGGGTGATCTGGGGAAGGGTCTGTTAGCAGGTCAGGGGTCGCTCTAAATTGGATGTTGTCTGATGAAGGAGGCTTGTCTCTAAGTTGGACGCTGTCTGATGGAGGAGGCTTGTCGCTAAGTTGGATGCTGTCTGATAGAGGAGGCATGTGAATTTTTCAGTGTCTCAAGGAATCTTACCTGGAAGAGGGCAAAGGACCGCCAGGAGAAAGCTGTTGCTAGTAATGAGTTAGATGCCGCTCATTTTAACCAAGTGAGTGCAGTGCTTGGTATTTTAGGGGGTGATAAAGTGACCTTGATATATTTTCTCTTGGAGGTCTCTGTTAGAGTCACTGTGGGGTGGGGGGTCTCTGTGGAGATCTCCATGTTGGTTTTGAAGGGTCTCTGTTTGAGTCTCTGTCAGGGGTTTCTCTGCGGGGGGAGTCTCTCTAGGGGGTCTTCATGGGTGGTCTCAGTCAGCATCTCTGTTAGGCCCTCAGGGGGTCACTATGGGGAATCTGAAAGTCTCTGTGAATATGGGGTCCCTTTGGGGGTCTCTGTGGCAATCTTCGAGTGTGGGGCTCTACACGGGGTCTCTGTGGGGTTCCTCTGCTGCAGGTCTCAGGACCCTGTGTCCCATAAATGTTGGGCCCACACTGGAGCTGCCCAGGTCACCATCCCAGACAGGACTTGGCTCCAGCAGTAGCCTGGATGCCCAAAGGGACACCAGAGTCTGTTCCCAACAGGTGCCCTGCGTGGGCTCCACCAGGCCTGGGACAGGTCTGTCCCATTGTCCTCAGCCTCCATCACCCCTACAGATATAAAGCTCTCCCTGGGCAGAAGGGCCCTGGGCACAGCCCTCTGGGGAACTGGCTCTTGCCTGCTCAGCCCTTGCTCCTGCCTTCCCTGGGGATGCCCAGGAGATACCAGCACCAGGACAGAGGGGGTGCATGACCCTGCCCTGTGGGGACTGTCCCTGCCAACCATGTGACCAGATCCTTTGAGGCCCCTTGTGTTCCCTGCCAGCACCTGGGCCTGGAGCCACAGATGTGCTGTGTGACCCAGGCCAGCCCTTCCCTTCGGGGTCCCCCTCCCCTGGGAGTGGCACTGGCCACTTTTGGTTGTAGCGGTTACCAGACTGTGAGGACCCTGGTTACAGCAGCGGGCAGCTTGTGGATCCTGCACTTGTGAACTTACGTTCATCTTCCCTGATTCTTCTCCCACCTCCCACCCTGGGCCTAAGGTCCCCTTTGCTGGTTCCTGACCACAGAGTCCCACCAGAGGGGCAGACAGCAGCCCTGAGCGCCCCTGACACGCCAACCCCACACTCATTAGTGGGCTGGGAGGCTCGTCCTGGAGGCTGCTCTGGAGAGTGAGTCAGCAGACACCAGATGCGAACACAGGTGTTATCAAGGCTGAGCCACGTGCTGTCTGAGCCACGTGCTGGCGGGGCCCCGGTCCATCCCAGAACTAGCAGGAAGGGAAAGGCCTGGGGAAGATATCATCTCTTCCCCACCAGGAGATCGGGGAAGGAGCTGTCCTGCCTCTGACCCAGGGCCAGTACAGGACACCCCCACATTCCCGGGCTACCACGGGGCAGGGAGGCTGCTGGATCCATCACTTCTCCAGTCTGAGGGGAGCCTACCACCCCCTCGGTCCATGAGGCCCCTGCAGACCCAGCCCGTACAGCAGCACAGAGGTCACCTTGGTGAGAACGGGGTATGCAGTCAGCCGGAGCCAGGCAGGGTCTCCATAGGGTTTGCTGTCCTTCAAAGGCTCTGGGTGATGATCCAGTTTGGAAACCAGACACAGTGTGGGGACAGGGAGAAGAGGGGTTCCTCCATATCCCTGTCAGCTTCCTCCAGGCCCAGCCCTAGCCCTTCTGGAAGGCGTGCTCAGGAGGAGCGGACGCTGAGCCCTTTCCTGTACCCTAGCATGGCACAGACAGAAGCAACCACCCCTGCAGGGAAGGCAGGTGTATTGGGAACCTCTCTGTGGAACTCATGAACACATGGGGGATGTAATCACCCACGCAGGACAGGTTTGTTCTGTAGGTGTCCAGTTTTATTTGAGTAGAACCCGCTGTCTCCCCCAAGAGAGGTGTGAGAAGCCTGGTCTGGTTCAGGAGGACCTCAGTTCCTGCGGCTGTGGATGGGGCCGCCCGAGGTGCTTGCCACCCGTGGCCTGTGGTGGTGGTGACCAGCTGGGGACACAGGCTCCTTGGGACGTGGGGTCCAATTGCTGTCTCTGCTGCCTCTATTTTTGACATGACAGTCATGGCCCTTGGGGGTGGCTTTGGGGCAGCAGGTCAGAACGTGCATCTCTCTGCTGTGTTCTTGGTGGCAGTAACCCCTGTGGCAGCAGGAATGCACATTATCCTGGGAATGGAGGTCACCTTTGTGGCGATTGACCTCTGAGGGACCACGTCCCTGCCGACGCCCCAGTTTGTCCGCCAGGATTTGTCCCACAGCTCTGATGATGGCCCAGGCCTCATCAGCCATGCTGTCCATGAACAACCTTGCTGGGCCAGACCCGCGACTCTCGACACCAGCTGCCCCAGGACTGCCTTTCTGCAGGACGTCTTCCTGCCCTGCGCCTTTTTTCCTGGGGGGTACACCCTGCAGAGGGTGGCTGATCTGTCTCCAGAAGTTGCTTTCTGGTGGTGCCTGTCCCTTCTCTGGCTGAGGATGGACATATTTCCTTTCCTGTTTGTCTCCTATTTCCCTGGCGTGGGTAAGGGTGGCTCCTCCCACTGGCTTCTGAGGTCCTGGGTCTCTTGGTCCCGTGTCCCGGCTCCTCTGGTCTGGGCCTCCTGTGGGCCTTGCCATTGTCTGCAGAGCCTACCACCTTCTGACTCTTCTGTGGGGCCTTCACTTTTGGGCTCCCAGGCTCCTGCTGCCCCGGGCCTTTCCCTCCCATCCATAGGAGGTCACGTGGCCCCTGGGAAGCTGTGGTGTTCTTACTAGACACACTCTGAGAGGTGGACAGAGGGGCCTGAGCAGGTAGCATGTCTGTGGTGGGGAGCATGTCCACGTGACGGCCGGAAGGCACAGGCCTGCGGCACTGTCCTGGAGGAGGATGCCAGAGGCATGGCCTGGCAGCTGCTCCTCTGGATCCACCTGCACTATGAGCTCGATCTCACTGACCACCTGTGCTTTCAGGCACAGCTGCCCTGGATTCTCAGGAACACAGACTGTGGACACTGAGGGGTTATTAGTGGTCCCCAGAGCCCCTGATCTCCTCAGATCCACCTGAATGCTTCCCGAATTTGCCTTCACGCCGACTTCCAAGGTGACTTCCCAAGCGGGAGGCTTCTCTTCCCCCACCTCCAGGGGCCCCAGGGCATCCTCAGCACTTGCCCACAGGGACCCTACCTTGAGATCCTGCAGGGCTCTGCTGCTACAGGGGTCTCCCAGGGATATGCTCTCGCTCTCAGGCCATGGCTCATTCTCAGTGATTGCTGGACTCGAGCCTCTAGGATGGTTTCCCCGGATCCTGGGACCATCTCCCTGTGCCAGGTTCTGCCCCCAGGGCTGAACGTGAAGGGCTGAGACCCCCTGTCCTCCTGTCCAGTCGGAGACACCTCTGATCGTCCATGGGTATCAGCTGACTGGGACCCTCTCGGGGCCCTCTGGACTTCCTCCTGCTCAGGTGGTAGGGGAGGGAGAGGGCCACTCATGGTGGGGACTGACTTGCTTATTGTCCAGCTGTCTCCTGGACGATTCTGGGGAGGTTTTCCCAGGAAAATGGCAACCTCGGCTACAGATTAAACCCGAGACTCACAGGAGGCCAAGCAGGGACAGGTGGAGTGTGGGGGGGCGGGGGCTGAGGCTCACGTGACCGGACGTTTATGGGCTTCAGGGACCAGAGGTCTGGACCCCACCTGTGCCCCACACGAAACCTTAAAAGATGTGCTTCCAGCATCGGCTGGGTGCAGGGATGGAGGAAGGAAAACTCCTGGGAGGTGTTCATGTGGGCTTTCCCACCTCTCCTGGGTGCCAGCTTCCCAGGGACCTGGCAGGTGTCAGACTTGGGAACAGCACGTTTGGCCATGAGCTGGCAGTGACACACAGGCATGGGGATCCAGTCCTCCTTGATCTCCCCCACCTTCCTGCCCAGATGGACTTCCAGCTTATTTTCTCGATGCTTCTTGTCTGGGTCCCCGGGTGCGGAACTTACTGATTGGTTCTTCCAGGGCCTCCGGAAGTCACCTTCTGCCTCCTGCTTGTCTTCCTCCAGAAGCTTCACTGAGGTCCTTCCTGAGCCTCTGGGTGGATCTGCTGGGATCTTCTCCAGCTTTTGCCCTCGATCCTGGTTTGGGTCTGGCTCTTGTTTGGACCTTAAGCACCCCTTCCCAGAGAACCCTCCAGAGCTCCTGAATCCTGTCTTCTGCCCATCCTCGCTGTGCTTCCCCGAAAATTCAGAAGGCTGGGAGGGCAGGCGGGCCCCCTGCGTGTCTTCTGCCTGATGCTGCGGACTCCCTAGGAATTCCCCCTGGGGCGGCAGCAGGTCTCCAGGTGGCCAGAATCTGCCCAGCAAGCCACAGGACTGCTCCTGGTGGATGGCACTCCTTCCTCACCACCAGTGTTCTAGGAGCTCAGGCCTGGTGGCAGCCCTGGAAAGGATGGGGGCTGACTTGGGGCTGTGGGGGGCCAGCCTCTCCTGGGGAAGGTGGGCAGTGGGTTCACTCAGGACAGCCTGAGACTTTTGGAGGAGAGAGGGCAAAACCCTCTTCCGCTTTGCTCTCCTCTGCAAGGGCCATTCAAGATACTCCTTTCCAGTGGGGGTGGCGGAATGTGCCCTCTGCTGGGATGTAAGGCAAGATGCCCCACAGCCCCTAATCTGGGGTGGAGAAGAGCACGGTAGGCTTGGGACACGGGGTGAGAAGTGGACCTGGGTCTGGATCCCAGCCAGAGGCGGGGGCTGGGGCCGGGGCCTGGCTGGAGTGAAAGGTTGAGGCTGGGCCACGTGGTGGGGCTGGGGCGGTGCCTGGGGAAGTTGTGAGGATGTCTCAACCTCAGGTTCACGTGGAAGAGAAGTGGCAGCTTCATGGAATGATACCTTGTGCCTGTTTCCTGAGGAAGCCTCCTTCGAAACCAAGGCCGCGGCCACCAGGGACTCGCTGTTGAAAGGGGGGCTTTTCTGCTGAAAGTGGTCCCCCATGGCCGTGGCATCAGAGACCTGCTGCGGACTGGGCGGCTGCTGTGGTTGGGCTGTCTGGTTCCAGAAGGGATCAGGAGTCATGGCGTCCCACTCCTTCCGCAGTGGTGTCATCTGCGGGCAGTCGGCCCCCTTCCCTTCTTTCTCCTGCCTCAGCTTCATCACTGCCTTCTTGGTGATGAGAGTCTCCAGCAGCTTCTGCATGTCAGGGTAGATGAATGTGCACTCACCTGCCTCCGTCTGCCTGGGTGTGGGGTCTCCCCAGAAAGAAGCCTCTGGCGGGTGGTCGGGAAGATACTGTTGCTGGAATTTGCCGTGTGAGCAGGTAGAGAGGCCCCACGTGGTGGCAGCCTCCTTCCACCAGGAGAGGTCCCAGTGGGCTCGCCGGAGCGCCCAAGTCCAGAGATCACCATGGTTGGAGCCGGCGGCCGCTTCTGGTATGGAGGGGAGCTGTGGGGGCCGGGGTGTGTTGTGGAGCCACGCGGAAGTCCAGCCAGGCTGGAGGCAAATGGTGGTGGAGAGGAGGCCGTGGGCCCATGGGGCTGTGGTGAAGGAGGAACAAGCGCATATGGCCGGGCTGCAGCGCGTTTTAGGGGAGGCGAGGGCTCTTGTGGCCTGGCAGCACTCAGGGTTGAGTGTGATCCAAAAGGCTCTGAGGAGGTCGTCGGGCCTGGTGACAGCGTGGAGGCCAGAGGAGCTGGGGAAGCTGGTGGGGACCAGCTGGTGGGAGGTGGGTCTTGAATACATTTCCCATGCAGCTGGGGACCCTGAGCAGGTACTGGTTTGCACACATCACCCGGGGGGTCTCCACCTAAGGGCGGATGGGAGCCGCCCTCACCTGAGAGCTTCCTCAGGTGGCTGCAGGAGACAGCAGGCACAGGCTGCAGCCAGGAGCAGGGGGTCCAGAGGCCGGAAGGGCTGGCAGTTGGGGCCCACGGCCCTCCACCTCCCCCACGGCTGACTTCACAAAGCTCTGCCTGCAGTTTACCACCTCTTCCTTATCCTCCTATGTCGCTTTTTCAGTCTCCTTGATTGTAATCTCCCTGATGCCCCCATGTTGTCCGTGAATCCTTCCAGGGATAGGCGGGGACGTTTAGCGGGTGAGGGCCCCACGTCTCTCTCCCACCTCCATTGCTCGGGAGGGACCAGTGGCAGCTGCTGGGGTTGCCCTGACCATTTTGGTTGTTGGGAACTGTCGCTGGCAGCTCTGGGTGGTGAAGAGCTGCTTGCTCCTAGAGCTTCAGCATCCTTGCGCTGGGTCTCCTTCCCCCTCATCTGCAAGCCTGAGGAGCTGGGCAGGTTGCCTTTCCCCAGCAGCTGAGAGGCCGCCTTGTCTGGCCAATGGGAGCAGCCGGGAACCGGGCCAGGGAGCACTGCTGGAGCTGGGTCAGGCTTCCCAAAGGGAAGGACGCCTCCTGCAGGGCTGTGTGCGCTGGGTACTCCATGGCCCTTGGAGTGGAGACTCATTGCAGGCATCTGGGCCTTGTCAGTCCTGTTTGCTTCTGTCAGGCTCCTGCTATAGACATTTTCCTTTAAGGCCCTGGGACTGCAGTCGAGGGAAGTGAGGTTTCCCTGAGTCTCCAGGGGCCTCGAGGTGGATGCTGCTCCCCCATTGCTAGAGGGCCCCCCTTTCTCCTCCTACTGCCCCTGGGTCTCTACCTGATCGTCCACCTCCATTGGTTCTTCTGGCTCTTCTTCTGCCCTCGCCTCCGTCTTCAGGATCGGGGCTGGCACTTGTAGCGAAGGCAGTTTCAGGGGAAACTTAAGTCTTAGACGAGGGATCCTCACGGTCCTGACGCGTGCGAAGTGGTGTGGAGATAGCACGGGTTTCTCCCTTGAGGGGGGCCTCCAGACCAGAGGAGGCAGGTCCCGTAGTTGGGCGCTCGAGTTCGGGATATTCGAGCTGACTGGAAAACAAGGCCTAAGACCTCACTGATAGTTGAAGAATCGAGAAGAGTGTAGGGCTCCCAGGGCAGGTACACACGCAGGAGCTGCAGGGTGAACCCGGTGAGCCGAAAAGTCCTCATGGACAGGAGGGGACCATTGCGGTTGCCACCACTGCCGAGGCCTGCAGTGGAGCCAGCTACGAAATCTGCTGAATAGATTTCCCATACTGCACCAGTTGTGCACGGACAAAAATCACAGTCAGAAATGGAGAGGGTACTCCTGAGTCACCCACTAGTCTGTAGCCAGGTGGGGCACTGGGCAGCTGGGCTCTTATGACTTCTCAGTGGGGCTGGTGACAGAGCAGGGTGTGGGGCAGTGCACAGGAGCCCAGCAAGAGCACCTACAAGTGGAGTCAAAGGGCACAGGGCGAGGCTCCCCACCCGTCTAGCTGGACTTTCTAGCCCCAGGGACATCCTGCTCCTCAGGGCAGGTGTGTGGCCCTGGATGGGCCCCGCTGTGGGGCTGTGGGGCATAAAGGGCTGATCTGCCAGAGCCCTTCCCACCTGGTGCCTGGCCCAGGCGCTGGCTGGCACCCAGTGGCCATGTCTTGGCTGGCCTTGTCCCCTGGGTTACAGGGCCAGACCCTGCTGGAAGCAGAGCTCAGGACTAGCCAGATCCAGCCAGGCTCCCCGAGGGCCTCAGCGCCCCTCTGCCGCCTGGAGCCAGGCCCACCTTCTCTGTTGTGGTCCTGGCCTCTCCAGGCAGATTTCAGGAGAGGATGCGTGCCCCGGCTTGACTGGCTGCTGCCCCTTACCACTTCCCTTCCTGGCAGGCAGGGTCTCCACACGGCTCCAGGTCACCCCACACAGAGGAAACTGGGCCCCAGCACCTGCCCCGGAAAGGGCTGATGAGCCAGGGCCGGGGCCTATCTCCCACAGAGCCCTCGCCCCTCTCCTGAGCCTGTCCTCGACACTAAGCCCAGTGTTGGTTTGTGCCCTGAAGCCTCCTGCCCACCCCACAGATGGCCTGGGAGCTGGACAGGGAATCCTCTGCGCACTCTCACCCTGCCTGCCCTGCCCTGCCCTGAGGGACCATGAGATTTCCCATCACAGGAGCGTCTTTCCTTGCTTAGGAAAAGTGGAAACGAGGGGAGGAAAACAAGAGAGAATCTTTCTCTGCGGGGCAGGGGTGAGGGTGGGTCACTGGGGAGGTGGGGGAGTAATAGGAAGAGGAGCCCCAGGGCACACACCCCAGTGAGGGTAAGATCCATCACCCAGGGAGTGGAGCTGTGGCTCAGCCACGTGGCAGTAGGGCTCTTCAGACCAAAGAGCATTTTTTTCATCTGAAGTGCACTGTCTCGTCTTCAAGCAACTGAGCCTTGGGCATCCCCTTTGGGACTAGGGACTGGGGCCCAGGCCTGCATCACATAGCTGGGGCTTCCTCCTCACAAAGGGCTCCTGGGTGCAGGGGAGGGGCAGTGGGAGGAGGAGGCTGAAGCACAGCCCCTCCCTTAGATCCCAGCCCTGGGTCCCTCCACCCCCCTGGGTCTCCCAGATCCTACTTCAGCAACTCACCCTGTCAGAGACAGGTCTGGGTCCGTTTTCTATTCTGTCCCCTGGGACACTGGTGTCACCTTGTTCTCCTTGTCCCCTTAGAGATCTAGGCCTGAGGCCACCCATTTCATAGCCTTTGAAAGTCTGAAATTCTCCTAGGAATTCAGATAGTTTCTTAAAGATTATTTCAGAATCTCCTCTGTTCTCATAATTTCCCCGCACCCTACATTTTCTACTTTCATCAACCCCGAATAGAGCTTTGAAATTCACAGAACTAAAAAGTATAATGAAAATACAAACAAACCTCCAAATGACATTTTTTTAATTAGGAACATAATTTTGAGTTACCCAATTATGGAGCTTACTGTAACAAAATCACAAAAATGCAAACACTTTGACAAATTATGTTTAAAACAAGAATTAAGCCTTTATTTATTGTCCTTAGATCTTTTGTATGTTGCTCTGATCCATTTCTTCTTACTCTGCCCCAAATACAGTCCTCACTGTCCTGGGTTTTGGAACATGTGCGCTCCCACCATAAGCCAGGAGTGGCTTGGGATGACCCGAGGTCCAGCTCCTGTGAGTCAAGAGCGGGTCCGGGCACCCCATGCTTGGCTCAAGTCCAGCGTTCAGCGGCCTCTTCTGATCTCACTCATGTCCTCCATATAAATTGATTGCTTCACGCCATGTCCTGTCATTCACCTCCTGCCCGCTCCAGACCCCTGGGGCCTGATGTCTGGCCTGTACCTGATAGGAAAGATGCTTTGAGCCCTGGAGGAAGTGTTCTCATTATACTATTAGACATCTTTTGAAAGCAGACACTCAGGATTAGAGATTGCACTGTTTAATCGCTATGTGATAAATTATGTAATACTTGAAAAGTGGCCTTGAAAATAATGTGTATCTTTGTCATGCGTTCTATATAGCCTCAATGGGAGTGAGACCATCTGAGTTTATTTGGGTCTGTTCTCATGAATGTGCACTTCAAGAGCATATCTTCCGTCCACAGTCTCTTCCTTTATGATATTGTCACTGGGGAGGCGTGACAGTCCCTGACACTCCCTAATGTGGTCAACTGGGTTAACTGGCAAGAGTGGAGACCCCAGGGATGCCTGCTAGGATCATTGAGAAGCATGGGGGTCCTAAGTTCTACTTCATTTGCAGGTGCCCTAAGCCTGAGAAGTGGGTCTCACCTTGACTACATGATTGGGCATGGACACACAAGGAATCACCTGCCATCAGGCCACCGCCAGCTCAGTAGGTGCACTCTGTGTGAGGGGCAGGGACTGGAGAGCAGGGGCAACGGGTCTCATTAATTCCACATTTAGGGAAGATATTTCCATTCCTCCTCAAACCTGATGCTCTCCTTTCCGGATAAACAGAGGAGTGCATAGGTGTGGGGTTTCTCAGGCCCTGGTGGACTGTGTCCGCGTCGCCATCCATGTGCCTCTCTTTCCTCCTCCACTCTGTGGGCTCAGCTCTCAACTGTTGTTCATCCAATCGCCCATCCACCTGCCTGCTGCAACGAGCCAGCCGCGTGCTCCTGCTGCTGCCAGGGAAATGAGCCTCAAGGCCCTTCCTTGACACCCCCCACCACACACACACTTCAGACACAGTGGCGCCCACAACAGACCCCTGGGGGCTTTGGTGGGACACCACACATACTTCCGAAGAACTGGGCCTCTCATCTCACCTGGGCCGACCTGGGAGCCTTCTTTTGCCTTCCTGCCTTTGTCATTCGTATTTTACTACAGACAATTGCTGTTCCTCGTGGTCCCTGTAGGACCATCCTTCCTGCATTCCACAGGCTCCTGGTGCTCAGGAGGCATCTCCAGGCCCCTGGGAATCTTTCTGGGCTCTGGTGTGGACTGGAATCGCAGCTTTGGTCTCCCCCCACATTTCCACTGCAGGGAAGCGGAGGAAGGAGGAAGAATTCATTAGAAAATGAGAGCGAACTTCTCTTTGGAAGAAGAGTTTCCCCTCCCTATCATAGTCTCTGATCACCCCTTAAGAATTTAAACAAACAAATATACCTACACAGACATTTCCTAGTGTGAAGATTAACTTCCTGGAAATATCTCTCGTGTTGCATACACATGAAATTCATGCACCTCAGCTGCACAGCCTTATCACAGTCAATGGCTGTCTGCCTCAGGAGAGGCCTTGAAGTACATTTCATAGTGTGTGTGGTTTTTTTTATATATTTACAAATTTTATTACTTTTTATCCCAAAAATACATATAAATGAAAACCTGCTCTTCAAGTGCAGGGAGGCCTTTGCCTAACATTGTCATATGAAAATCAGTATCAGCCCTTTAACACACAATTTACATATATCCATCCATACATACACACTATATGTAAGCAGCTAACACTTTTCTACTTACACATATTCCTCTGGTGGAAAACTAGGAAACTAGTAAATTCCCCTGCTTTCCAGCCTTGGGAAGGTAAATACAACCTCTCTGAACAATCTTTTAAAGGATGAAATGTGTAGAAACATGTAAATAACACAACCTGCTTTAGACATATACACGTTATTAAAGTATAGACCCTGTCACATCAGTGACAGTATATTTCTCAGAGAGAAAAAAAGGAGATAACATTTGAATAAAAACACAAAACTGAAGTACAGTTAATATGATCACAATTGTTATGTACATGTTCGATGGAGAAATCAGGAATTCTCTCAAAGAACAGATCCATGGCCAATTTCAGTCACTTGTGATGCTGAATCAGCACCCATTGGTAGCAACCAGGATCTTTCTGCACAGTCATGGGCTTAAGCAGGGGCCATAAAGCATCTGTTTAAGTTAAACAGTCAATAATGCTTACTGACTGTGTACATTCGCATCCCCACCCCCAAAACACTAAGTGCAAAATCAACTTCTACACTCAAGAGCTCAACCAGGTCAAAGCTTTGGTATATACTGGAGGTTGTTTGGTGATAACCAAATCTTAGTAAGATTCTCTGCTCAGGGGTTTGCCACAAAAGAAAAACACCTGGCCCACAAAGCTTAACATCTATATAAATAAAGTAAGTGTACAAAGAGAACAAGCCAGGATTTCCCCTTAACCAAGGGTTCATAGTTTCCTAGGCAGCAGTTCTGAAAACACCAGCTAAAACCACAAGGCTTCTACTAAAACACGATGTGCTGCAATCGGTGAGACTGTCTTGAAAACAAATGCCAGCGGGCTGTGGCCAACGTGCCACAGAAAAAAAATTAACAAAACATTAGCCAGTGTATTTAAATGGCAACACAATCGGGTCAGCAGCAGAGGAAAAGAGTTAAGGCAATAAGAGGTATTACGGGAGCACTGTGGCTCTCTGAGTCAGTCAAAGCCTTCCAAGAAGGAAAACCTGTCTCAGTTTGTGTTCTTAGTTTGCTAGCTGTCAGACACTTCTTCCTCCTCCTCCTCATCCTCGTTGTCTTTCCTGCCTATTTCAGAAGTATCTGACATCTCATGGAGCAAGACATATTCTCTGCTACTGAACCCAAATTTGAGTACATCCTTTTCTTTTAGTTCATAGTATCTCTGTGGCTCAATACGTTTGTTGCTTAAGAAGGTTCCATTGCCTGAGCCAAGGTCACTGATGTAGGGCTTCACTCTTCGGCCCACCGTGCCATCAGCAGGGGTATATTCCACCAGCCGATATTGAAAGACCACATGCTGCTTTGAACAAGACGGGCGATCGATCGGAATGTCTGCAATGCGGCAGTGTCCACCCAGTAGGTATGCACTCTGTCGATGTATGTACATGACTGGCAGCACTTCATCATTTTTAAACGGGTAGAGACACCACCATTTTCTGGGGACACCTGCTTTTGGGGGCTCACTATATTTAATGACTACACCCCAGAAAGTGTTGGTGTCCTCAAGAAGCGCCCCAGAAAGTTCAAAGCTTGGTTTTTCTTTAACAGGCACCTCTTTTTCTTTGTTGTTGCCACCAGGTGGAGGAAACAACTCCTGAGACTCACTGCCAACGCCACCAGCGTCACTCCTCTGGCGATGCTCCCCGCCTGGCATTACAAAACTCCCGCTTGTCTTCCTGAGCCTGCAGGTTCTGAGTGTCTTGATCCCGTCCCTGACCCTGCCCACTCCCAGGCCTCCCGTTAGACGTTCTCCTTCGGTGGGAATGGCCCCGGTGTCTGTCCCAGTCACTGTTCCTAGCTCTCCTGTGTTCCCGTTCCCACGGTTCCCTGTGCTGCCAATCCTCCCGTCCTCCCTGGGGATGATCCTTACGCTCCTGCTTCACTCTGACTGTTGAGTGGTGAGGACTTCGGTTCCTCTTACTCTGAGCAGACTTGCTTCTTCTCCCTGGGGACTTGTTTTTCTTTTTGGGTGGGGACCGGCTAACTCCTCGGGCCTGGTTCCCGCGGTGGCCCGGGCGGCCCAGCGAGGTGGCTACAGCCGCCGAGCGGTCTGGACGACAGTGGGCGGGAGGAGCGGCTTCTGGGCTCTCTCACTAAACCACCCACTCCCTGGTGATAGACAGTGTCTGGGCTTAATTTCTCTCTTTAAGATAATTGGAGTGTACTGTACAGTGGGCAGAGGGATCGGTGGTGGGGGTCCCCAAGACTACCCTCAAGTTCAGGGACACTTCAGAAAAACTTGCAGAATTCAGAAAAGCTATTCTACACATGGTTATAGCTCATGACAGCGAAAGGACACAGAGGACAATCAGCAGAAGTAAAGAGCACATTAGTCAGGCCAGGCACGGCGACTCACGCCTGTAATCCCAGCACAGTTTTGCTCTGTCGCCCAGGCTGGAATGCAGTGTCCTGATCTTGACTCACTGCCGCATCAGCCTCCAGGGTTCAAGTAATTCTCCTGCCTCGGCCTCCCAAGTAGCTGGGCGTATAGGCGGGTGCCACCATGCCTGGCCAATTTTTGTATTTTTAGTAGAGATGGGGTTTCATCTTCATCATGTTGGCCAGGCTGGCATTGAACTTCTGACCTCAGGTCATCCATCCATCTCAGCTTCCCAAAATGCTGGGATTACAGGTGTGAGCCACCATGCCTGGCCTGGGTTTCTTTATAAACATGTCTTTAATATTTTACCACCTTGGAAATTTTTTCTTTTTACTATAAAAAGCATATACCTCTAGAAATGAAAAAATCAAAATAGGCCAGGGGCAGTGGTTCACACCTATAATCCCAGCACTTTGAGAGGCCAAGGAGGGTGGATGGCTTGAGGTCAGGAGTTCAAAACCAGCCTGGCCAACGTGGTGAAAATCCCTCTCTACTAAAAATATAAAAATTAGCTGGGCATGTGGCTGGAGCCTATAATCCCAGCTACTCAGGAGGCTGAGGCAGGAGAATCGCTTGAACGCGGAAGGCAGAGGTTGCAATGAAATGAGATTGCATCATTGTACTTCAGCCTGGGCAACAAGAGCAAAACTCTGTCTAAAAAAAAAAAAAAAAAAGAAAGAAAAGTAAAAGGAAAAATAAAAATAAAGAAGCTTATAATATTTTGAGCATCTTGAGAACTGAGGGGCCAGGAGCCGTGGCTCACACCTATAATCCCAGCACTTTGGGAGGCCAAGGCAGTTGAATCATCTGAGATCAGGAGATCAAGACCAGCCTAGCCAACATGGTGAAACCCTGTCTTTACTAAAAATACAAAAATTAGCCAGGTGTGGTGGCATGTACCTGTGGTCCCAGCTACTTGGGAAGCAGGAGAATTGCTTGAGCCTGGGAGGCACAGGTTACAGTGAGCCAAGATTGAGCCATCGTACTCCAGCCTGGATGACAGAGCAAGACTCCATCTCAAAAAAAAAAAAAAAAGTGAGAAATTTACCCAAATCTATAGGTACAGCAGGTGCAGTTTGATGTTGAGTTCTTAGTTTGGCTTCATGGCCCCAAGAGGCTTTTAAAATCTAATGTGAGGCCAGGTGTGGTGGCTCACACCTGTAATCCCAGCACTTTGGGAGGCCGAGGAGGGCAGATCATGAGGTCAGGAATTCAAGACCAGCCTGGCCAACATGGTGAAACCCTGTCTTTACTAAAGATACAAAGAATTAGCCGGGCATGGTGCCACATGCCTGTAATCCCAGCTACTTGGGAGGTGGAGGTAGGAGAATTGCTTGAACCTGAGAGGCAGAGATTGCAGTGAGCCAAGATCACACCATTGCACTCCAGCCTAAGTGACAGGGTGAGACTCCATCTCAAAAAAAAAAAAAAAAAAAAGAAAAAAAATTAAGGTGAGATTCCTTATAACAATTGCTACAAAACAAACTTTAACAGACCTATGTAGTCAATTACTATTCTTGCTGCACTTATATAAATAATCAGGCCACACTGAATGAGATAAGACTTATTTTGTAAACAAGAATAATACTATTTTAATTATCTGATCAGAGACGGAGGTGACTGTATAGAGATTTCATGTGTTGTTAGATATTTTAACATTTTATGTGAAAGTGAACATTGCTGCTCCTCATTTTTAGAAGAGTGGATTTATAATATATGTATTTGTTGCAAGTTGTATATTTAAATTACTTAAAAATACATCTTCTTTGGTAATAGCTTTTAAAAATAAATTTGTGGTACATTAGAAAGAATGTTTTGAAGCAAAATTTTCAGTTTGTATTCTCTAAACACCAAAATTTTACTTTGAAGGATTAAAAAACTACAAGAATATTCATATTTGACCTATAAAATAAGTAATTTAGATGGAATAATTTGAATTTGGAAATTTCTTTATACGCTAAATTTGAAGTATCAATGCCATTTTGTTTTTACAGATGTTCCTTGAAACATTATATTGGCTACTGAAAAGAGCTATGATCCTTTATGAAAGGATGATTTTAGTGATGCAACTTGTGTATGAGGTACATTAGGAAGCATTGATTCCTGTGCCCGTTCACTAAGATTTTATGAAACAATTTGTAACAGGGCCACAGTAAGTTCCAGGAGTGTGGTCAGGCATGCCTCCCTCCTCACTGGACCCACAAGAAGCTTTCAGGGTTCTGGGAGAAAGATGCCCAGGGTGCAGAGGCTGTCACAAGGGAAGAAGGGTCAGGGTAGGGCCTGGCCTCACAGGGGTTAATGAGGTGTGTATGTGTACTGTGTGTGTGGTGTGTGTATTTGGTGTGTTTGTATGGCGTGTGAGGTGTGTTTGTGTGGTGTGTGTATATAGTGTGGTATATAGTGTATGTGTGTTTGTGTGTTTGTGTATGTGTGGTATGTGGTGTGTGTGTATGTGTACTGTGTGTGGTGTGTGTATGTGGTGTGTGTGGTATGTGGTGTATGTGGTGTGTGTGGTGTGTGTGGTATGTGGGCATTTACATTTCTCTGTGGTGTATGTGGTATGTGTGTATTTGTGTGTATGGTTTGTGTCGTGTGTATGTGTGCAGTGTGTGAGGTTTGTGTGTGGTGTGTGTGATATGTGTGTTTGATGAGTGTGTATGTGGTACATATATGTGTTTGTAGTGTGTGTGCCTGTGTGTGTTTGGCTAGGAGAGAAGAAGTTGCCATAGTTTTGCATCAGATGGTCCCTTGAATTTCTGTGACCTCTGACCTGCCTGGATTCTGGAGCAAATCTCCCGTAGCTGTGCTCGTCTTCAGGGTGAGTGGATGACCCTCTGAGGTGTGGCCCCCCCAAGGTGTGAACCCCTGTGCTGTGATCCCCTGTGGTGTGAACCCTGGCAGTGTGATCCCCTGAAGTGTAATCTCCTGAGGTGCAAACCCCTGTGGTGTGATCCCCTGAGGGTGTGAACCCCTGAGGATCTGGTATATGTAATACAGAACTGTTGAATTCTATCCCCTTTAAAATTCATATATTAGAGTCCTGGTCAGGGGCGGTGGCTCATACCTGTAATCCCAGCACTTTGGGAGGTCGAGGCGTGTAGATAACCTTAGGTTAGGAGTTTGATACCAGCTTTGCCAACATGGCGAAACCCCATCTCTACTAAAAATACAAAAATTAGCTAGGTGTGATGGCACACGCCTGTAGCCCCAGCTACTTGGGAGGCTGAGGCATAAGAATCGCTTGAGTCCTGGAGGTGGAGGTTGCAGTGAGCTGAGATCACACCACTGCACTCCACCCTGGGCAATGAAGAGAGACTCAATTTCAAAAAAATAAAAATAAATAAAAAAGTCCTAACTCCCAGTATATCAGAATGTGACCTTATTTGGAAACAGGGTCACTGCAGATATAATTAGTTAAGATGAGTTCACACTGAAGTAGGGTGGGCCCCTAACTCATTATGACCGGTGTCCCTATAAAAGGAAGGGGAGGGGAAGAGGCATAGTACTCAGGAACAACCCCATGTTCCTGACTGGAGTTAGGACTGGAGTTACTTCCTCTTCTCCAAATCGGAAATCCATCTCAGAGCCTCTGACCAACCTACAACCCAGCCCCTCCTCCATTTGAACTCAGAGGTTGACCCTGGGGTGCTCCCAGGTGCCACACTGCCTCAAATTCTGACCTATCCTCTTTTCACTCTAAAACCCAACCACTTGCACTGCTTAGTGACTTTGCCCTTTATAAAGCACTTCCAAAGACTTTATTCCATCGGAACCCTGTGGTTGGTCATCCCATTTTGAAAGAAGACCCAGAGGCATTAATGCATCTTGCCCAGGGCCATGCCCTTAGGGAGAACATCTCTTGACTCCAAAGCCCGGCTCTGTCCCCTGTACTTTGTAGCTTGTTTTTTCAGAGTCTTGAAAGTTTAACCCGTCATGACTGGGCTCTAAAAATGTGATTCTGATCCAGGTATTTACATGTGAATTTAAGGAGCCCAGAGAGTTCTTTCTTCAGGGTGACAACTACTTAAAAAAAATTTAAAGCATTCTTTGGCATTTCATGGCATAAAAATAAATACTTTAGGTATACACACCCTTCTCTTCTGTCAGGTTTTATGTAAATGGATTCTTCATGGATTCTTCAGCAGTCTTGGCTTGGTGCACTCTCCAGTACCCCAACGATGGGCTACTCATCTGTGGCCAGTTCATCTCTTAAAAACAGGGATCCCAAAGAACTAACCCTAAAGTGGTCAGGAGCGTTGGATATGAGCTTAACAGCTGGCAGACAATTTGTATGTTGCCTGAGTTAACATTTCTCTTTTTTGTTCTTTCAAAGAATTTTGTAAGAAAGTAATTTCAAACAAATCATTTCATTTCTCTGGGACGTAGTTTCCCCATCTATAAAATGAGTATGACTCCAGCCTGCCTTTCCATATAAAGTAGAGGTATTCAAAGATCTACAAAGTTTCTGAGCTTTTGATGTATCAGGGTCCTAGGGCGTATCACAAAATGCTGCAAACAACAGGAACATATTCTCTTATAGTCCTGCAGGTTAGATATCTGAGACCAAGGGATCTCAGAGACCATGCTCCCTGTGAAGGTGCTAGGGAAAGATCTGTTCCCACCTCTCTCCTTACCTCTGGTAAAACCTTGGCTTGCGTTCATGTCTCCGGGTCTTCTCTCAAAATGGGATGACCAACTACACCTAGTTCCAGAGGGTTCCGATGGAATAATGTCTATGGAAGTGCTTTATAAAGGGAAAGTCACTAAGCAGCACGGGTGGTTGGGTTTTAGGGTGAAAAGGGGATAGGTTTGAGGCAGTGTGGCACCTGGGAGCATCCCAGTGTCAAACCCTGACTTCAAATGGAGGAGGGGCTGGACGGTAGGTTGGTCAGAAGTTCTGAGATGGATTTCTGACTTGGCAAAGAGGACAATAAAAATGGAAGACATTTATTGAGGGGGACCAATGCTGATTTTTCTTTTTTTTTTTTGCAAGATGTGTTATGTAGGTTTATTTTAATAGCTATAGGGATCCATGACCAATCCATTCTCCCTCCCAAAAGTTAGGTGTCCCTTCTTTAGAAAAGGTGTGCATGGGGCTCGTATAGAGTGATAAGGGGCAAGGAGGTGGGGTACCCTGAAAGAGGTGCACACGACACACTTTGAGATATGCATTCACCAAATCTAACCAATAATCCCCTCTGCCCACTTTCTTTTTTTTGAGCTGGAGTCTCGCTCTGTCACCCAGGCTGGACTGCAGTGGCACGATCTTAACTAACAGCAACCTCCATCTCCCAGGTTCAAGTGATGCTCCTGCCTCAGCCTCCCGAGTGGCTGGAATTACAGGTGCATGCCACCATGCCTGGCTATTTTTTTTTTTTTTGATGGGGGATGCAGTCTTGCCCTGTTACCCAGGCTGGAGTTCAGTGGTGTGATCTCGACTCACTGCAACCTCCACCTCCCAAGTTCAAGTGATTCTCCTGCCTCAGCCTCCCCAATAGCTGAGATTACAAGTGTGCTGCACCACATCCAGCTAATTTGTGTGTTTTTTGTAGAGATGAGATTTTGCCGTGTTGGCCAGGCTGGTCTTGAACTCCTGACCTCAAGTGATCAGCCCATCTCAGCCTCCCAAAGTGCTGAGATTACAGGTGTGAGCCACTGCACCCAGCCCCATCTTCCCAATTTCTCCACCTTACTCAGCATCTCACAATGCCTCTTCTGCCCCCTTTCTGTGACTCATTTTTCCCCTCAAGGCTTCACCTGTGTTGTCTGGGGAGAAGAGGAGGTGATGCTAGAATAGGAAGTGTCATCTGCCTCATGTGCACTCCCTGACCCCCTTACTGGAATTGGGTGTCCTCTGTACACCCATAAGAGACTCTGAAGGAGTGACTGATGTCAGAGTGGTAATATGAGGCCGTCAGACTGCTGCTCCCATTCTCCCAGGAAAATGTGAGAGAAGGAACCTGAACACAAATGGTTGTGCATTTGTCTGGGAGTTAGGAGGATGAAGGCTGGAGGTGGAGTGGGCAGGAGGAGGGAGGAGAAGAAGGAAGGTGAGAAGCTGTGACTCACTTAGAAAGAATTGGGTTGTTGGACTTCATACATTCTCAAGGGCTGGAAAAGCAGACGTGAATGGCCTCAAATTTAGCTAATAGAGAACCCTGATTTCCTTTATGCAGCTCAGCCAAATGTGTTTAACTTGTACTTAAAAATTGCCAGCAAGTATTTTTCAGTTATTTTATAATAAAATCCTCTTTTTAGGTTACCTTTCAAATTTCCTGGATGTCCCTTAGAGGAGCTACATTCAGGTTAATGTTTTAATTCAGCAAGACATCTGACTGTTAATTACACTGCTAATATGCATTTCTTCCTTCCTCTTTTAGAGAAATAGAGAGAAAAAGACAAACCCTCGTCTTCTAGAACTATTTTCTTGTCCAGTGTTTATAGCACTACTGTATATATAGGATTCTCTCTCTGAAAGCTTGCCTCTGGGTTTACTTGTCCACCAACCATTTAGCCAGGCCCAATGATAGTATTTGTCAGTGGCAGAAAAGCAGTGGATTAATAACAGCAACAAAAAGAGCAAGAAGAAAGCATATTCTTTGTTAACGCTCCTGACTGCACTACGTCATAATTATGGTTTCACACAGCCTCTGTATTTTTAAAATCTGACTTTAGGTGACAGTACAGAAAGCCAGTGACGCTTTCACTCTCATATGCCTTAATGGCAAAAGGTATATAGAGTTTGTGAGCTGAAAATTGTCAGGAACTAAAGAATATTTTATGATCTAAAGTAATTGCTATTGTTATAGTGAGTCTAACAGGAGGAAATCTTCAACAGCCCTCCTCTTCCATGGAAACTGTCTAGGATACACATCTCAACAATTCAAGAAATTCTCATAGCATGGGTGTTCCTGGCTTCCTGCTATTTTCTCACTCCTGCTCCCCTCAACCTTCACCCCCACCCTAATGAATATTCAGCCTGCATCCTTCAACCAGGATTTTGAATAGGATGCTTCCTGTTTTTCCTATTAAAGATTAACTGTGGTCCTGGGTAAGAGATTGTTTGTTTAGTAAGACCTTGCAGCTGGGAATTCCTGTTTATTTTTTATTATGACCCTGGTTCTGGGGACAACATATATTTCATAGTTACAAATAAGGCCTTGTATATTCCAATGGCTCTGTTAGTCCTGACTCTGTGTTACAATTATTTTTTTTAATCTACATACCTGTCCCATCTCACTGTGAGCAATTCAAAGGCAGGAATTAAGTCTTATTAATTTATCTCTTCTGTTGCCCAGCACAGTGACCAGAACAGAGCAGTAGCTCAATAAAATGTGTTGAATAGGTAAATAAGCTGTTAAAAGAAAAACCTTAACTGAATTAAATCTAACGGAGTTTAATTGAGCAATAAATTGTTCACAAATCAGGCAACCCCCAGAATTACAGCAGATTCAGAGAGGCTCCTCGTGGAGGGACACCTCATGGTTAGAAGGAAAAAGGGAAGTGATGTACAGAAATCGGAGGTGAGGTACAGAAACAACTGGATTGGTGACAGCTCGGCGTTTGGCTTATTTGAACACAGTTTGGACACTCAGTAGTGTATGCGTGGTTGAAGCATGGCTGCTGACATTGGCCAAGACTCAGCTGTCATTACAGGTGTGATTCCATCAAAGCTGTTTATAAATAAGTGCACATTTGCCATTTAAAGTGGTAGTTTTTGGATCCATGATTTGGGCTTCATGAGATTAGCTATGAGGACATGCCTGAGAGCCCTCTCACAATTAGAATGAGATCCTTGAGTTTTTTCCTAAAAACCTTATGGATGGTATTTTGCATTTGTCATCTGCAAGAAGACATGTACACACCTTGGTATTTCTTTAGTACTCATTTTTAAGGGCTGCAAATGGACTTTACAAACATGATTTCATAAGTCCTTAAATAAAGCCTGGGAAACAGTAGATACATTGAACATTTACCAAAACTCTTCTATAGCTTCTTGTCACCCTAGGGATAAATTCCCCCACAGCTTGTTCTTACTCAGACACCAGTCCCCAGTTATACCAAACAATTGCAGGTTTCACCTCGTGCAGGGTCTCTTGCCTTCAGTCTTTTGCGTATACTGTTCTTTCTCCCAAACCCTCCCTCCCCAACTCCTAGTCCTCCTTCAAGTTGAGAAACTTGAATGGCATCTCCTCAAGACAGTTTCCTGATTTCTACACCCAGTTAGGTCCCTTGCTAGTTGCTTCCTCACAGAGGGAATTCCATAGAGAAATTGAGTCCACAATGCAAACATTTCAAGAGTAATCATAACTTTTTAAGTTATTTTCAATGTAAACAGAAAATATTTGAGTTCAGGGCTGTCTTCTTTGTGATATCCATGTCCTTTTATTTATGTATTTGAATTGATATTCTGTCCAAAGTTGCTGCCAAAATTACGTTTTACAGGAGCCAGGAAGAGCTTGTCAAACATCTTGATGTGTGGTTTGTATGGTTTCATTTGGTCTGACAATCTTGTCTATCCAGAGAAAAGGCAAGTCAACTTCTATCTTTGCTTTCTTTCTCTGGATAGTTTAACATATTATTAGTAGTTTGTCCATAATTCAAATTCTATTTTTAGGAACATTGGAAGATTATATGACATTTCTGATTTTATTAGAACATTCTTTCATTTAATATTGCTTTAAAAAAGGAGCTCATGTGTGGAGGCTGAGAAGCCTTTGGTTATATAAGCAGCTTTATGATGGCTTTATTTGAGTTGTATAACATATTTGTTGTTCTTAATAATATTCAGAACGGCAGAAGAATCAAGAGAGCAGATTTTGAAGGAGACTATGCCACATTTGGTACATAAAGTAATATATCTGAGGCTCATCTACATACTTGAAATGACAATAATACCTACCCCATAGGATTACTATAGGGGTTAAATGTAATAATTACTATAGGGGTTAAATGTAATAATGAGTTATTACATTAATAAAATGTAATATATACTAAGGAGTTTTAGTATGATATACAACTCAAGGTAAGTAGTCAGTGCTAGCTATTTTACTATTATGTGTATATATATATATACACTAACAATGAAGTGGCATTGTTGGAGTAATAATCTGGGGTAAATACCTGAGATTTGTTGTCTCATGGCCATGGAAAACTAGGACTTGGTCACACAAAGAGTGAGGTTCAGAGCGGAAGTTTAATAGGCAAAAGAAAGAGAGGAGATCTCTGTAGCAGAGAGGGGTCCTGGAGAAGTGGGTTGCCGGTTCCACTGTGGAATGCAAGGGTTTTTATAGATGAGCTTGAAGAGGTGGTGTCTGATTTACATAGGGCATGAAAGATTGGACGGACCACGTGTACCACTTTTATAAGGCGGGAAAAACTGGTTAGGACTCGGTGTGCCATCTGCATAGCGTGAAAAATCTGGCCACCCCATCCTAATCTTTTATTACGCAAATAGCTCTACCTAGCCAGTGCCATGTTACCTGTTCCTTTACCGTACACCTGGTGACAGAGAAAAGGGAAAATGATGGAGCCTGCATGTTGGACACACCCGGCCCCCCGGTGGCCCTTTTCTATTGGCACAGCTGCTGGCATTCACCCGTGCAAGGTTTCAGCTTGCTTATTTGTCTGCAGTTCAATTTTTCAGGCTGCTTTTTGTTAGA